CTGCTTACCACGAAGTCGACACCGAGGGTCGGATCTGTCGCTGGCCATTTGCTTACTGCCAGGTCGACCAGACACTGTAGGTGGGCGAAGCCTTGCCTCAGGGCACAAAAAGACGAATTTCCGGCTTCAGGGCATGGAACAGCGAATGGCAGGTCACGTTGGCAGCATTCGTCATTGTTGTGGCGGTGGTGATGGTGGAGGCGGCGGTGGTGGTGAGGCTGGTGGTGGAGTGGCAAGGGCATTATGATGACCATGCGTCTTGCTAGCATCGCCTTGTCGTGGTTGGCCTTGTTGTCAGACAGTTGCACGAATTTTGCCGTATGCTAAAACAGGAGTGTGACCAATGACTAGCAAAGTAGGAGGATATATTGCTTACACAGGTTTGGTTCAGGACTCATCTTCAAAAAGTTGTGGCTCATGCGTTTTGGGTTAGGGGGTTTCTAGGGTTTAGGGTCTAGAGTTTGTGTTGCCCTTGCGTATGAAACATTAGCCAAACCACAACAGAGGCAAATCTCAAACAAAAAATGACCCGCCAAAATATCATGGCAACAAACTTAGCATGTGAAAGGAAAAGAAATTAGTCGAGGAGCAAAATCAGAACGAACATCCTCACGACGGCAGTAGCTCCGATTTTCAGAATTTCCACCCTTGCCCTGCACTCTTGCACTTGCTAGTTACCCTCTCTACTTTGAACACTACCGAGGTAAGTGCTGGTTGAACATGATTGATGCTTAAGGGCAAGGTACAGAGTGGATCCTCAAAACAACCCTTTTCCCCCGTCCTCCTTAAGCACCACTTCGGAACTTTGGTGTTGGACCTGCGGGTTAATCACATACCTCCACAGCAAAACCCTAAAGGGCCCTTCATCTGTTGGAAGATATGCAGGAGTCCCCTCGTGGGGCCCTTGAGCTGAGATCCCATGCTAGATGCACATACTGATTTGTGCGGAGTCTATGGATCCCCCTTCCTGAGGCTGGCTCTTTGGGGCGCAGCTTTTCTTCTGTGAGTTGTGTGGGCTTTGGGCTTAATGAGAGGGATGAAGAGGCCTATGGGTTCCCAGCTGGTTTTAGAGAGGTTGATGCGCTTTAGAGGCTAAGTTGTTTCATTCCCCCGTAAAAACTCTTGTCTGCAACCGTCAAGACCTTACATAAAGATTGAAAGCCAGACCCAGACCCTCCTATGTACTTCCTTCAGGGGTAGTAGAGTATAAGCCCGAAGCCCAAGAGCCTAAACCAAAAAAACTAACAGGCCAAAAAAAGAACTACATAGGAGCCCTTGTTTTGCCAGACTATCCGCCGTCATGCGGTTTACGGTTGAAGGTTTAGGGTGTAGCATCCTCTATGTGGTTTTGCTTTCACCCAACGTACATCTTCACACGCCACAGCACGGCGACACTGATGAATTCCCAATGGGCTCCACTTGAGCTATAGTCTGAACTCCTAGTATTGCCCTCAATAACCCCTATAATCGTCCCCCATATACAATCCCCTACATAACCCCCTTTAAGGAACTCAAACCCTAACCCGAAATAGTAGCTTCCATTATCATTTTCATATTCCCGATATAGTTCCCTACATAACCCCTTTGTAACAGCTCCACTTCAACTTCAGCTGGAACACGAGCCGCGGCAAGCGCAAACCTTGGTCCACATTTTTTTGCGCCACTCAAAGTATTAGGTATCCCTGTCCCTCCAAGAAGAATACCCTACTCAGCCCCCTAACAGACTTTTCTTGGAATTCAATGCCATAGGGCCATAAGAGGTGATATTTGCGATTCTAGTCCCTATACACCCGCATGCATAGCCCCTCTTGGCCACTATGTAATCGGAGTCCGAAATGTTTTCCATTTAACTTACGGGGATCAATTCCTTGTTCTGGCTGCAGGCGCTGCTTCCTATTTCTGGTCGTCCTATGATCAGACCCTGGCTGTTTTTGCCCTGCGTCTGCTTCTAGTCAGTATCCCATATAGTACCCCTTAAGTAGATAGAATATGGCTTTGGGTACATTATAATAAGATCCTCATATACCCCATATTCTATCTACTTAAGAGGGACTATGAACCTTAACCCCTAAACCCTAAACCCTACACCCTAAATAGTAGTTTCCATTTTCTTTTCCATTATCCCCCTATAACCCCAATAATAATAGTTGTTGGTGTTGCATGCAACGGCTGCATGCACAAACCAACTCCTGCACTCCAAAAGGGCCCCAAACCCCACCTCATGACGTGGCGACAGCCAACACTTCTTGCCAAACAACCTAGGGGTCAAGGGCTATAGGGGTTACATGTGGGTTATATGGTGGTTATATAGGGGTTATACGGGTTATATGGGACTTAACATGTTCCGAAACAGTCTGCGCTTCGGCACTGCTCATATTGTATTTGTTACCCACTCCTGAGGACCTTCTACTCGCCTTTTAGCATCCGGTATCTGTAGGTGCTTCAATGGAATCAGTCCTGCTTGCATGACAAGACATCACATTTCTCAGTGTACTTGCTGTGGATCGTACAAGAACACCTCCGAAGCCCTTCCAGTACCCAGAACTCAGATCTGTTGACTGCAAGACCCTTGCGCGCGTAGGAACGCAAGAATGCCTGGAAATGCGTTAAGCTCCAGCATGAAACTGAGATCACAGAAAGACACCCTCACATACTCACGTATATACGCTAGCGGGAAGGGAGTAAATCTGAATAAGCCTAATAGCCTCAACCCTAAACCCTACACACAAAAATCCTCAATTCTAAACCCTAATTCCTAAACCCTCAACCCTAAATCCTGAACCCTATAAACCCCGAACTCTAAACCCTAAACCCTGAACCCTATAAACCCCGAACTCTAAACCCTAAACCCTAAACCCTACATCCTGAACCTTATAAACCCCGGAACTCTAAATCCTAAATCCTAAACCCTTAGACCCTAAACCCTAAACCCCAAAAAAACCCAAACGCCTAAACCCAAAATCCCTAAACACCTTGCATTAGTGAACTCTAAATCCTACACCCTAAACCTCTAAACCCTAAACCTCTAAACCCCAAACCCCTAAACCCTAAACCCAAACCCCTAAACCATATTAAAAAAAAACAGTGGGGACCGGCCTGGAAGTCCTCCGGCCCTGCAGCTTCCAAGCAAATGCGACAGCTGGCCTCCACTAATGCAAGGGGTTTTGGGTTTGTGGGTTTTGGGGGTTTTGAGTTTTGGGTTTAAGGGTTTAGGGGTTTTGAGGGTTTTGTGTGTTTTGGGGTTTAGGGTCTAAGGGTTTAGGGTTTTTGTTTTTCGGGTTTAGGGTCTAAGGGTTTAGGATTGAGAGTTTAGGGTTTAAGGTTTATGACGTCAAATTTAGGGGGGTATCGGGGCTCTGTGGATTTCATAGGCGATTCTGCAAGGGGTATACAGGGTTTAAAGGTATACTACCTCAACAATGGAAAATCCAATCGACAATTACACGGAAGCTGGCATGATATAAGAAGATTATGTACCTGGACCCTCCATTGTATAATTAATTTTTGCTCGAGGGGTATTTCTGCTCGATTTGATGTGTGATTCAGGGTTTGGTGCGTTTTGGGGAGGAAACGTTCGAATGGATTATAATTGCCCGAGCTGCCTGAAAAGCGCCCGTGCCCGTGTGAGCCCAACCCTCTTAACCCCTGTGATGCTGATCAACTTCGGTGGCTACATCGGATGCATTGGCCACGCTCTGAGCTTTTTCCTCCACTTGCAAGTTTCTGCAGGTGATCTCGGTAACCCCCTAGCATCTCCTGCATAGTGCGATAAGCGCAACTCAGGGCACCCGTCCCAGAACGCCTGGCAACCCTTGAGCACCTCCCGATAAAGTCTTCGTCCGCCCAACAGGCGGCATCTTAGCTAACACCAATAATTGGGATTCAAGGTTTCAATCTACATGCTCAGATTTTGTGGCTACAGCTCATTAAGTCCAGAACTCATCGGATTGACGCTGTAGATATTGCGCTGCCCACATTCCCAAAGCTTTTTCCTTAGCTTCCAAATCATTTACATGCATATTTCCACGCGTGTTCAAACTTGCACGAGGAATGCGTAGCATTACAAATTGAAGATTAGCATCGCGAAGTGCTCCTGCATATGCAGTTTTGGTCTGATCTTGAACAGCTTGAACGACACCGCATGGCAAGCCCTTGCCAACGAAACATATCCGGCCTAGGATGCAAGTACTGTACGTCATTTTTTATAAAATGTGTTTTAAAAGTTCAGAACCTGCATGCAGGATTATGAAGCCAAGAAACAGTCATCTCATGACAGGCTCTCCCTGCAAGCAAGCTTGTGGAAGGGTCCAGCCACAATCCAGCATCGTGCAGGATTCGGAAGTACGTATTAGCACACTGCACGGTGTACTTCAGCATTTCAAATAGATGATTTGGAGAATCCTGGGCGCAAGGCAGATCAAGTCCATTAGCCATTAGAGCAACTAATAAGAGCATATAGTCAATAGGAAAACGTACTTGACTGTCCAATTCCATCAAGAGTTCCAACTTCGAAATGAAGCATTCAAGCCAGGAGGTCATCAGGGCAGTATCAGCACCCCTTCCCCCTGTTGCAGTCGGATAGCTCTCAGACCTTAATTGATAATGGGTTTGGGATCTGATCTCAAGATCGATCTATTGTAATTGTAGCCTATTTTCCTATAATCTAGAATGGGTACCGAAAATCATACTAACAAGAGGCTAGGGTCTTTCCCATCTTGAACCCAGACTTTGTGAAGCTGCGTATATTTGTTGATTTGCCACGCTGGCTGCACCACTGGCAAAAGTCGCAATACGCAGCACGCAAACGAGACTGCAGGCCACGCCCAGGTATCAGCTTAAGTAGGCAAAGGAGAACCAGACCCGATGTCACAAAGTCCCGGCCCACCCTCAGTGTACAAAATAACATTTCAGGATAAGATTGAGCCCTAAACCCTAAACCCTAAAACCCACCCTAAACAGGCAGCTTAATTGATCAACACTTACTTTTTTGAAGGAGCCCATTAGATGTCAAGACACCCAATATGCCACGTGTGCGCTGGGTCCACCAAAGCTCGTAGCGGATCCACAAGCCCAGGCACAACGAACAGTGGCGAGCCCTGCCTCTTGAATGGCGTCGGGGCCTCGTCGCCGGAACGCCACGGGGCATCTCCAGACATGTTGAACCATTCCTGGGCCAAGAATTTCTAGTAATAATGGGTCAATTGGCTAATCTTAATTTTTGAAAGAGGCTCAGGAACTCAAAGTTAGGGGTAAAACATAGCCAGGTTCAAAGGTTCGGGTATAAAAATGAAAATTTCCAGGTTGCTGCTGTCTAGAATCTTCACTGTTGCACAAATGGCAAACTCGTTTGCACTGCCATCCAGTTGATAGCGCCATTGCCTACACTAGCTATAAAAAATAGTCGATGCTAGCTTATGAAAGATTTTTGGGCTGTCCCCACCTTTCGAAGATAGACCCAATCTCCTTTAATGCCCACCACAGCGAAGTGCAATGTGACAGGGCCGTCCGGGGTGTTGATCTTAACAGATCAAGTTAACATGATGTAGTTAGCATCTTTGAAACATGTGGGCAATTAATTATGTGGCTCAGAAACCTTTATCCCTTCTTGATAAAGGCGAGTGAGATCAGTAGCGAAAGCATCGTTCAAGGCATCCAGCGTAGCGTCATTCCAGTAGAGCTCCGCCGGGACACAGGTGAAAAGGAATCTTGTACAGTAGGTATGCCTCGATGTAAATTCAATCATTGGACGTGTGTACAGCCTAGCTAGCAATTAACATCATAACGTGTAGCAAAAAGTAGGGCTATTGAGGTTGCAAGGGGCCCACTGCTGTTTTTGAAGGCTGTTCCTCGAAAGGAAATTGCCGGCTGGAAACACTCTACCATGAGTGGAAGCTTATACTTCCCCCTCCCTTCATCCCCGTGAACGTAGACTGGCACTGTGTGCGTAGTAGGCGGCGAACCGACCTCATTCATGATGTGCTGCTGATCGTATTGTGTGTACCGAGTCCAGAAATGATGTAAATTTGCCTGCCACTTTCTGCCATGTTGTACATCCACTCCTCCCAAGAGTAGGTGGCTATGATCTTTCATCAAGAACTGTACCCATTTGCTTGGGTAGATCACAGGGTACCATACCTTGACTTTTTTGACCAAAGGCCGCCGCTTGCGAACTGGAGTTTCAACGAAATCGATAGGCAATGTCAAGGTCAAGCCTTCTCGTTGGATCAACCGATGAAGATTTCTGCAAACATTTTTGTCATTGGCGGCAGAAGAAATCTTGTAGAGCAGGTCCAACTCTCCTAAAGCATTATTTTATATATGTAGTCCAAAAACCAAAGTCAGCACACAGTTTGTACAACTTGGAAGCTAGAACAGGAGCATCGCATGCTTAGCCAAGTTTCGCCCACCCTGGCCAAGCCTGCAAACCAAGCTCGCCATGTGTGCAGCTCCTTGAGCAGTTTCAGCCTCACAAGTTGGAGTTATGACATGTTAATGTTAACACCACACAATTGCTCGTCCCGGAAACACCAATACAAGCTAGGATGCTCCGCTGAAATGTTTGGATAAAATTTCAGTCGCTGCTTCCAGGTCGACATCGTGATCTTCTTGGGATGACTTGGAGCGCTTACCTCAAGTCTTCTCATGAGGGCATATGGGGTTTGCAATGCTCTTACGTAGGAATGTTAATTATAGTTGTCCACTCTTGTATGGGTCCAGGTCGGAGTCCTTTGTTGTACCCGGGAGGTTTCAAGGGATTACCTTAAGGTAGGCAGTTTGGGGCAGGATGTTTAGGGTCTAGGATCAAATTATATATATATTATACAGGCTTAGGGCTTTGAAATTTGAGGGCCAATTAAAGGGTATAAACCACGCGTGTAGCTTGATTTAATCAAGGTTCTTGAGTTTGGGAGCCGTTTACATTCCAGGATTCCAGGACCTTCCTGTACCCTTTAATATATTGGCATGTATACCCCCTAATCGTGGGTATCTAGGGGTGATATATAGGGTACATGGAAGGTCTAGGTACAATTCATATAGTGCAGCCAGCTGCCAGTAGCTAGCCGCTGAAGATTCTCGTTGTTCACTGCACCTGCTGCGCCTGGCAAGCTGTAGAGATTCAAGACACATTTAATCTGGTTGTGTGCAGTATCTCTTCCAACCCACTAGTGACAACAAATCGGCTCGGCCATTTGTACCGTTCTTGCAATGCTGAGGAGGCGATCTCGCGAATTGCGAGGGATCCAATTGCTCGTGAATTATACACAGCAGCTCTGGACTTTAGGTACAGTAGCTGGGTATAAAGCTGGTACCCGCGGTAACACCAGGGATTTGAGGGTCGATCTACATGCATAATTAGAAGGCATTATAATAGTAACGCACGATCAGCTGCCCCACCCTGGCACATCCACAGGGAAGTACCAATTTAAATTAGCATTGTGGAAAACATAGCCCTAGGATCAGCACCGCCTCTTTTTAGAGGGAGCGCTCTTTGGGTTGGCTGCAGGTCGCTTCTTGCCTTTGCCGCCCGCCTTGGGGGGAGCTGCCTTGGACTTGGGCTTGCTGATCTTGAGATTCCTGCCAGGTAGGCTTTGGGGTTTAGGTTAATTTTGTCGGGTTAGGGCTTCGGAGTTGAATTATAAATCCGAGTCAGGGGGCCGACCGCGAATCATCAGAGCATTGATAGCCAGGTCCAAGCGGGTGCAGCTGGCGTAGCACTTCAGGAGGTTCTCCTTGGTAGTCCTGCCAAAGCTGGAGCATGCTAGAGTAAATTATAAAGCTGGGGTAGTGTGGGGATATGTTGCACAGATCCTTGATGGCGGTGTGCCAGCATCAATCACGGCGTTCGTCTGGAACTGCAACAACTCTTTGTAGCTGCTCTCAAGGTCTCCAATCTTTGGCTTCAAATCATCAGCCGCCTCAGCTAAACCCCCCAACCCTGGTCCCACGCCCCTAAACCCTTGCACCCCTAACGTCAAGCCATTTGTAGACTAGAGGCTCTCTGGCACGCTTCTGGCCAGATTGATATAGCTTGTCCTGTCAGGTAGATCAAACTGAAAATTGTTATGGGCATCACTGTGAATTATATTAATACCCGAATAAGCTGCGCCTGAAGCTCCGTTGCAGTGTCCACCTTTTTCCCGCACATGTCGATGTAGACAGCCAGAACACCTCAGTTACAGGTTGATGGTTATGTGGTCTAAGCACTAGCTGGCTTGTATGGCACAGGTAAAATAAGCCAAGTAGCTGAACACATCTTGATTGGCTTGCAGTACAGGGAGGCACTTCTCCTTGGCCGTCTTGGCCGTAGTTGCAACTGCCACCCGAGCATGATCCACATCATTTGCGCCAGTTGCGCCTGACCTTAGGATGCACAAATTCCAACCATATGAAGCACCCCCTACCTCCTTAATCCCCTCCAGCGTGTTATAACTGACTAGACCTAACCCATCAAAAAGCCTCGAAAACCCTTCAAAAGTAATCTGTGTTGCCAAGGCTCCGAAGGGATGCATCATACGAGACCGTGTCGCTGAGGAGGAATCCAGAGTTGTCCTGGCTTAGGGATTTGGGTTCTTGCAAATCGTTCTCATAACATCCTTGCTCGCGATAGATCCAATTCTAGAAGCCCCTTTGGAGTTTTAAACTTTGAGGGTTTAGGCCTGGATTATATGGGGTTCAGGATGGGAAGGGCCTCAATGTCCAACGAGCCCCTCGCAGTAGAGGACTGCTCATGCTCATTCCTGAAGAGGAAGGTCTCACGCGTAGGCACCTTAAACTCCTCCAGCCCATGAATCTCATTGATCCGCGTCAGACCACGAGCTAGCGCCCATCGCTTGGCATTCCCAATCATAGTCCTTGCATGCAATGAAAGTATAGAAGCGCATTCTGCAGTACATGGCATAGCCTAGTGTCAACACTAGCCACTGCCAGCAAAGCTACTCAGTCCAACCCAGTTGAGTAAGTGTCACCTCGTTCTCCCAACCACCAGCTCGCTCATTCTGAGTAAGCTGAGAAGACCTTTTCGAAAGCTCCACCTCCATGGCCGCAAATGACCCATGCTTCTGGAGTAGCTCCCTCAATGTCTCGCCTGACGAGGGTGCATGCAATATTGTTCAACATGTTGCGGGCCTTTGAGACACATGCACCTACGAGATATATGGCAAGCTTCGCCCCTTAGGGTCATTGAACATCTTGAGGGCTTCCTCCGAACACTTGAGCTGGCCCTTCTTGGTCGGCGCGAAATACCGCTTCATCCTTGGGGGGATCATATCTTGAGTAGTAGAACTTAAGATAGATGACCCAAAGGATGTAGAATAGGAGACAACATGTAGCTGATGCATACAACAAGTCTCTTCCAGTATGATCCATCGCTGTACATGGAGGACGATGAAGCATGTGTTGGGGCCGGGGAGGGTGGGGCTCCGCCGTGCTCCAGTGGGGCAACGTGCACAGGGTCTTTGGGCATTCGGGGGGCATTGGCCGAAACCGGCGACAGCAACAAAGTCGGGCTGAGCTCCTGCTTTGGTCCTGCACAGGGTGGGCAAGCGTCACGCCGGACGGGCGTGGGCACGCCAATGGAAACCAATCTTTCAGAGGGATTCGGTGGCTCGGCATTGTGCGCTGCCAAACCTGGCAAAAACCTGCCGGCTTCTTTTGCCTCATGCACATGAGCTCGCAATCCTGTTGGGGCACAATGGAGATAGGTCATGTGAGGGATAGGCATGTCAATATGAAAAGGCATGCAGTTCATGAATGACACCGTCCTTCCGGCTCCTCTCCATCAAAGGAGGCAAGTTCCTGCTGCAGCGCCATCACTTTCCGGGCAGCCGCCTAAGTTGGGAGAGGCACTGAGGGGCTTTGGGTTTCATAACTATGTAGTTTTGATGCTTCATGCGAATTTAAATTGCAGGCTAGAAGCTGCAATCTGATCATCCAGCTCAAAAGAGCAAACAGTTCTATATTGGTTAGCCACCATGTTGAGGCCTTGATCAAGGGACTTGCAAGTAGTCCTGCGCTCTACCGCCATTGTTTGGGCCAGTATGCTTAGCACCAGTATGTTTGGTCAATCAAGAGCTATGCGCATCACATCATCGTACAAGATCCATGACCTGTACGCCAAGTCTAGAAGATGCTTGTGAGAGCAGCTTTGCAGGCAAACCATGAAAACTGAAACGAGCAATTGTTCAAAAATCCCGGTTTGCGCCCGTTTGCTTGGTTTTGCGCCCGTTTGCGGCGAATTTGCGCTCGTTTTGCGGGCAAAATTGCCCGACTTTTTTGCTTCAGCATGACTTTGCCACACATGCGCAAAATGGCCAATCAAGACCCAGCATGTGCTCGAAGGAGGTCTTCTCGTAGTGGGTGGCCAGCTAGAACCTAGGAGAACTCTCAGGGCTTGCTTAGGCTTCCAAAGTGATTTCCCTCAAGTTACAGATTACTGAAGGACAAAACACGCATGGTTCAGGGCAAGGAGCTGTTTCTTTTAACTCAGAGTGGAAAGCATCCATGGTGGCTTGCCAAGTAGGAGGAATCATGAGATTCTTGTTGTTGTACAAGTAGCACCACACTTGGACCAACTCCGCATCAGGCCACGTATCCCCAAGCTGCAAACTTGAGAACAGTTCACGATCCGTCAAATCCTGGCTCACCTGAGTCTTTTGCCTCAAACAAAGCCGAGGTTGCGTGGACGCCCGCTCCTCGTCCCATAGTTCAAGGATCCTTTTTCCAAAGACACGGGAGTAGGACCTGGGAGCACTATAGGCATACAGTTCGGGCGAGGATTCTGGGGTCTATTGGGTTTGGATATAGAGCATTTATTATATAGGGGACTATAATAACATTATGGGAGAGAAAGAGAGACATTGAAATTACAAGCAGCCATTACAAACCTAGAGTTTCAACTTTAGCCGGGAACTCTTTGTATACATTGTAGCCATGGTTTGGAAACTGAGGGTCCTACCCGCTTGCTCTAAGATCCTTCTTGTTGCCCACAAATCTCTTCACTCCGCGAGCATCAATATATTTTCCTCAGGACACGCCAAGATAGAAAGGGTCAAGCGCTATAGGATTATTTATTAGAAAGGATCCTGGCAGTGAAGCTTTAATCTTAAATCTGAAAATGCATATATTGTATATACACATATATATACATATATATCTTCTGGGGGCTTACACAAGTGCTTCACTGACAGGATCCGAACTAGTTCTTAATGCAGGGCGGTTGCTCGTTGTCTGCAAAGACGTCCTCTGTTTCATTTCATCACGAGACAAAGGTCCAGCGTCCTTTGGGGGGATGTTATATCACAAGAGTTGAAAGATGCGCTATAGCTGCCATATTGTAACAACTGAGACCATAGCAAAGCCAGTGGCAAAAGATCTTGCGTTTGTCCAGACCACAGTAGGCTTTGGAGAATCAGCTCCCCAGTGTTGAAGCCAAAAAGTGTCTTTGAAAACCTGGGTCATATAAGGGGTCTATAGAAAACCCTTCCAGAATAGATTTATATATTACTTAACAGAGAATTTAGGGGGGCCCTGAGGGAGCAAGCTACTCAGCTAGGCTGTAGTATATATATATATTGGATATGTTCTACCACCGTACTTTGGGGACCTATAACATCGAGCTTGTGTTGGGGTGTACTGGGTGACAGTGCTGTAGCGATGTAATGGGCGTTGATTCACATGTACGCTGACAGGCAGTGTATAGAGTTGGAAGAAGGCATCACCTAATTTTTGAAAAGTAGTCCGAGGGCTGAAAACCTTGCGCCGCCCACTTTTCAAAAGCTAGCACCAACCTCAAGCCCAACCCACTCAATCCCAGCTGAAACACAAAGACAACAGCAAACCTCACCCTTACCTCAATCAATTAAGATATTCCCCTCGACCCAGGATGACATATCCAACAGGCTAGGCAGCTTTTGGGGGAGCTACTAGTATAATTCGTAGATTATGAACCTAGACCTTCCATGTACCCTCTGTTTATATATATGGTATACCCCTATATACCCACTATTTTGAACCATACCCCGGGCCTATATATTTATAAGGGTACAAGGAAGGTCCTGGACCACAAGCTATTGGCTAGCCTTGCAGCACTAGGAGCAAAGCAGACGTGATTGCAAAACCAGGAGAACCGTTCGTGATGTGGGAACACTTGATCACTTCCACGAGGTTGCTCGATCAGGAATATACTATGAACCGCCAGAATCAGGAGGAGAAGTAAAACCAGCCTTCGCTTATGGGCCAAATCACAATCCATGGGTAATACTAATTTTTGCCTACTCTACCCTGCAACCCAAATTGCTCAAAGTTGAGACCACAGGCCTTGCAAGTGTCATTGAACCTTCCCTCACATAGTCAAGGGCTGATCGACCATGAGGGTTGACTGCAGATCTCTGGGAGGTCGCCCGGTTCACTGTCGACCAACTTGAGCAGGTCGGGGCTAATACATTGAGGGAGTCCGGGGCTTCTCGAAGGACAGTGGCCATCGCTAGCCTGATAATTCAACAAGTTCATAAGAGCTAGGTTGGGGTCACTAGCAGGTTGCGTGTATAATGCAACGTACTCTAAGGCAAACGTATCTTAGCCCCTTGCGCAAAGCCCCCTGCACTGACAAAGTTCATGCACTTTCCATCAGGGTCGTAGAGGCAATCGTAGCTGACAACACTCCTCTTAGCTTCTCTGCAAACTTGGCTGACACGAGCCTGTCCTGCAAAAAGTTCGAACATTTCTACCTGCATGCGGAGGTCGATGTTCTGTGTCCACATAAGAAGAAGTACCTGAGCTGAGGCCACATCAGCAAAAATATTTGAGGAGGGGTCTGAAAGGTGTACACTCTCGAATATTTGCAGAAGTTGCACGAATCCAATAAGCACCTGCATGGGAAGTGGCTTGCGCACATTTGAGGTCTAGCTGATATCATGCAATGTGCGGTGTGGACTGGAAGGGCCTTTGGCGCTTGCACATGGATTAGGTTCGGTATCAAAGACTCCCATCTATGGATTGGCATCGCCGCAGGGACAGCTATAAAGCAACACTGGGCAAGGGCAGGCCTGAGCCAGCTATGTTTCGCACCGTACTAAGCTAACCACAGCACAACATGAAGCACACAACTTCAGAAACGCCAAGTTGAATCCAGCCAGCAGTACCCCTCGACATTGCACGGCAGGCCCACTTCTCCATGACCATGATCAGCCTGCGGGCTCAGCTTTTCAGGCACATGTTAACTGAGATTGCAAAGTAGCAGGTTTGCGTTCTGAACTTTTCCACATCCATGGCAGATCAACCCTCTGCACACGTGGCCGCACAAAGTTTAGATCCTCGATCTAGCCTAGCTGCCAGAAGACATGTGAGAAATGAATAGTGACAGTGCGCAATCACCTTGCACACTACCCAGCAGGAAACGCTAGGTTCAGCTAGCCACTGCAGCTATTGCAGCAGCTCCCCATTTAAAAGCCGAGAACACATGTGTGTTCCAAAACTGGCTGGCTATTAGCAAAGCTCAGGACCCGATCACTTGGCTGCACGGTAAGCCTCAGTTTGAAAAACAATCTTCATGAAAGACATGATGTTGCAGGTCTTGTGAGGTGGGCTCGAATTCGATCTATAATGGATGATAACAAGCAACACTCTTCGCAATCTCGCACGCCTCTTCCACTGTCATGCCACTTTCAAGGGCTTCTTTCTTTGCACGATGATACGCCGATGACTTCCTGCTCAGGCGAGCCTTATCCTCTTCGGATTTGCTTCCCTCATTCCTGTCCTTGACAGGACGCCCGCGCTTCCCATTTTTTGCTTTCGCCTTCCCTGCAACCTTTTTTGCCTTTGCTTTCGCCTTCCCTGAAACCTGCTTTGCCTTTGCTTTGGCCTTGGCTTTCCCCCTTGCTTTCGCCTTTGCCACGCGAGCCTTCCCCTTTGACTTTCCCGCCGGCCGCTTGTGAATTGGCTCGCATTCGCTCAAGTCCTCCACCTCACTATCATACTCCTCATGCTCCTCCTCCATGTCCTCCTGATCTGTTTCAGGCACCATTGTGGATTTCCGCGAAGGGGCTACCTCAAGCTCCTCATCATCCTCATTCGCGTGCTCCTCTTCATACATTCTGCCGCTTTGCTCAGCCGGGGACATGCTAGGCACAAGCTTTTCCACGCAGGCAGGCTTGGGGGGCAACTTTGGTTCGGCTTTGGGGTCCGGGGCAGTTGCTTGGGGCACCTTTGCATCTTCCTTGCTTGGGGGCTTCTCCATCATTAGGGGCTTCTCCGTCACTGGGGGATTCTCCTTAGGGGTGGGCTTTGGCTTGGGCAACTCTCCTGATGGGGCCTTGGCCGAGGGTGGCTCGTTCCTTGCACTTGCATCACTGAAGCTCAAGGACCTACGCACGTCCCATGGAGGCTGCGAATCTCCTGACCACAGAAGCTGTGTCTCTGCATTGTCAGGTTCCACACCTGAGCGAGTAAGGGCAGGATATATAAGGGAAGGGTCGAGGGTAAACCAAATCAGTTCGTCTATGACAACAATAGTAGTTTATTGCAGGGCTCGTGTGGCAGGAGCGGTTGCCATAGGCTTCACAGGGCGCTTCATGTCATAGAGCCGCCTGGCCCGCTTGGTTTCCAACTCCTCCGCTAGCCTTTCAAGTCTCTCCTTAGCTAGAATGCCAAACTGAGGGTTCATGTTTTAGAAAATCTCCTACGAACACAATTAAATTGATTGAGATCTCTGATATTGGCTAGGCTCAAGCTCATTCATCTTGGATCTTTTCTCGAGTTCACAAGGCACAGCTGTAATGTTCTCGATGGAACCAACCAAGGTGCACGCTTTGCACTCGAAAATGCCATCGCCCAGGTGGCAAACCGCGTGAAATCGCTTCGCGGCCATACCTGGGCAGGAATTAGGGTTTGGGGCATTTGGGGATGGTTTTCACGACAATGCCCTACATGAACTTAAGCCAACAGACCTTCCCAGGACGAGGCTGCAGTTGAAGAAGTCTCAGAATGTCCTGTGCTATGAATAGTGCGCAGTCTTGAGAAGCTATACAATAGATATGTGGCCCTACTTAAGGTCCTGTGCCATCATCTCGTTCGATGGCTTTCTTCATGTCCAGGTCTTTCAGAGGGGTTGCCTTTTTCAAGGGGGGATCAGGGTTCGGCTTGCATTCCGCCTTACGCTTTGGCAGCTCCATGGACTCTGCCACCTCACCTGGCAACTCCTTAGCCTCACACTTAGGCTCAGCTTCAGGGTTGGGAGGATGGATCGTGTCCCGAGCGTCAGCCCCACTTGTGCTTCCAGTGCGCTTGGGCTTCTTACGTGGTGGGACGATTGAGACCATAGGGTTATCCTCAGAAGTCAACCCACTTGTAGCCGGAGCTGTGTCAGAAGTCAACCCACTTGTAGCCGTGTCAGAAGTCAACCCACTTGTAGCCGCAGCAGTGTTAGAAGTCAACCCACTTGTAGGCGCAGCAACACCACTAGCCTCCCCATCAATAATCTCATCCCTGGCATCCTCAATTTCCACATGCCCCGTAACTGCATCAACGATGGGATCCCCATCAACCATCTCTTCTTCCTCACCTTCACCTTCCCCACCATGGATGGGGTTGGAACCTGCGGAGGGTGCAGGAATGGCAATTCCTGCTTTCATCATCATCCTGCGAAGCACTGCTGATCTGGGTCTATGGGGTCGACTGATTGTACGGTTCCACATCGATACAAGGCGTTTCAAAGACCAGGCCAGCGTCGATGCCTGGGGACCTAAGATTCACTTTTCAGGATTGTATGCTACTACTATATTATATACTGCTGACATGCAAGGTCTACAGCTTAAAGGCCAAGGGGCGACTCAAGGGAAGGCGTAGGAGCTTGTAAAGGGCATCCAAATGGACTTCCAAAGTCTCAACTCCAACCCTGCACCCCAGATTCAGAATGATCGGAAGGAGCACCTCTTCGTTGAGATCCAGGGCATCTCGGTCCACAGCGCCGCTTGGTGGTAGCTTCACCTGAGTTTGCAATGGGGAATGGGTCGGGTAGATATAGGTTAACGATGCACTAGTAAGACCCAAACCTATACCTCGAATTCACAGATGACCACTATGTGCAGGCAGAACACCAAACAGTAGATAGCAGCACGACGGCGTACCGTCGTGCTTTTTTCCCAAGCCCTTGCTAGATCCGTTGACCCTTCATCAATCTCCTCATTGCATGACTCCTCCTCCCTTACCTCCACGAGGGCTTCGCTAGCCATGGCTGCAAGTTCCAGGCTTTAAAAGCTAGAGCTCACCAATTGTCTACCCATGACACCCATGCAGTTCGCATCACACTTCATGTGCCAGTTTGTTTTTAAAAGGCTGTGGGAACACAGGCCGCATTCAAGTTGTCATCAATTGCATGCGCCAATTCAATTGCAGTAGCCTATGTGCAGTGCAAGGGCGGGCGCACCTTCGCCGCGAACAACTTGACAACGATCACCCCCACCTGGCCAGAATCTTTAAGGGACCCTCCCCCTCGAACCCTAGCTAACTACCCACCTTAAGGGCTTGCCTTGTCAAGCATCCAGAAGTGAGCCATGCTTCACACCTGTCAGCCAAGGTTATACGATCATCTTTGATGCCACCGTACAGAGATGCTCATGATGCAAAGCGCCTGCCGACCCACCATCAGCAAGCACAATGAATAAACCATTGGAACCACTGGAAATGGAAAGATGTGAATTGGGATTTTGGAGGTCTGTTGGTCGATGCTAGGTCTTAATCTAAATCTTTTGATTGAAAAGATTCATCATAATGGGTCTGGGGGATGAGATTGCATCCTTTGATCTTGGCATCATGCAATGGGCCGCCTGAGCCAGCATCTCCTGTCAAACCAGGAGCTTCGATCGTGAAATCCTACTTTTGCTCGTTTGTCTGGTTTCCGCTCGTATTGCACGAATCAAGCCCTCAAACTGCCTCCAAGGCAGGAAACACTACAACAACCAAATGAGCAAAAATAAACGCATCAAAGGAAGAACCAGGTACTGTAGGGCATTAAACAAGTACCGTTCCTATTTTGAAGTCTATTTGAAATACCCTGTGCTATGACCATACGGGGAGTCTAGAACCAACATGTTGGTTCAGGCGTCTTCATGATTTCGCCCGCGGTTTGCAGCATCATTGCGAGTGGCGCATCCAGAAATGCCACTATTCTTCCAAGCGCTGAAGTGTCGTGCACTGAGACTCTCAACGATACCGACCCTAAAGAAAGAGCCAGGGCCCAAGAGCACAGTCCTCCTGACAGATGGCATTCCACATTTTTGGAGAAGATTTATGACTCTCACATACGCGAAACCCGGAGGCCCCACCTAGAAACCTAGACCCCCTCACCTCTGCCATCAGTCCGGGCAGTGCAGCTGGCTCCTGCGATGACGACACTAGGGTATTTCACAATTTCAATGATTGGAAAGACATCATTGTATGTATGAAGATGTAACAGGGATTAGGTTAGGTTTACTTGTTGGTCAGGTGCGGGCTCGGTTTCTGGCTTGGGTACGTGGTTATATGGCGAAGGCGAAGATACACCTTTACCCCTCAAAGGTTTTTCACAGGGCTAGGCCCTAGCGGCCCCAGCGCCCTGAACCCGTAGGCAGTAAACCCTGAAGCCCCCAATAGTCTAAACCCCCTCGACACTGGGTTGCTGTTAAGAAACTGAATTTAAGCTACACTATTGGGGAAAGCCTGTTGAAACCTATTTATACCCATTATGGTAACTTAGTTTGCGTTCCTTAACTTACAACAACCCAGCATAAAAGCCTATAAACTCTAAATTCCAAGAGGTCCTGTTGGCAAAGTGCTCGCTCGCTGACCTCTGGTGCCTGCCGTGAAGCCTGACAAGAAGACTTAGATAAGCAAGGTCCAAAGCAGGTCATGTGGGGGATTCCCACGATCCGGTGGTACAATTTTGGGGATCCCTAGAAAAGGCACTATAACGCTTTGGAGTCTATATTGGGTCACCCTATTTTCAAAAACTACCATCTGTGAAAAAAA